TATTTTAAAAACCTTAATACGTCTTACTAAACAAAATACAGCATATCTTACGGTGATAGAAGTAAACACAGCGCAACGTTATATAATTCTCAACCAAAATGCCAAATGCCTACCATAGTCCTCGCCACTTGAAATAGAATCACGAAATATCGCGATGATATATTAACGAAGATCGGTGCATGTGCGCTAATACTTATAAAGTGCACTATGCTTGCCGTAAAAGGCGACTAGCGGAGTCGGGTAGACAGGCACGCTGACAAAGGTGACAGACAATCCAGTGATTGACATCATGAGCATCGATCTACGCAATTGGGATCGATGACATGCATCAACCAAGTCAGCGAGCCTGACCCCCGACCCGTTAGTCGCCCCTGCATGGGTTGCAGAAGTAATATTCCTTATCGGCGGGACCGCCTCCGTGGTCTAGTGGTAGAGCATCCGCCCGGAGAGCGGAAGGTCCGGGGTTCGATCCCCGCCGCGTCATACCAAAAGACGTTAAAAGATGGTACTTGTTGGTACCCTGTCTGGCGCTCGGCATTAAGGGGCTAAAACAAGGACTGGTCAGCTCGGAGTCAGTATACAGTGTCTGAGTGGAATATTCATGTTAAACTGCGGCATGGTATCTCAGTGAGCTAGCACTATAAATCGGCATCAGTCCGGACTAGTACAAGCAGCCACACAAACACACACACACGTACATGCACGTCGCTATATAAGTGCAATAATCTTGGACGCGACGTTCAACCCCATTTCACCTTCACCTCACCTCACCTCACCTCACCTCACCTCACCTTATCGGCGGACCGGCATGTTTCGACTTTATAAGCATAAGCACACATGCAGCTATCTTCGTTAATTAATCAGAACTTCGTGATTCTATTTCAAGTGGCGAGGGTTGGAAACGTACACAGTCGCTAGACATTTTTCTTCCGATCCATCGAAGCCCTAAAGAACTTTGAAACGCCTTTTTAAGACAATTCCCTTTTCACTCAAAGCCATATTAATTATCACTAGTCGGAGGTAAATGTCTGTATTAAACATATATCATACATTCCGCTGATTTCGTTATGTGCGAAATTGACCGATGTGGAAATCTATCTTCACAGGTTTCGAGGGGTGGGGGCGGGATTGTCCTGACGTGAAACTTTGATTACAAAGTCACTGATTCTCAATATGCTTGTTTCAGTGTCGATAGTCATCGGTGTCTGCACTGTATACTCACACTTAGGAGTATATGGATCCGTGCTGGTTCGTCATAAAACTCAGCCATTGGCTAATTAGGTTGGCTCTTTGAGAAACAGCGTGTTTTAAGTCACAACGTTCTGATACTCGTACTCTAAATGTTTGTTTGTTTCTTTTGTTTGTTTGTTGTTTAACGCCGCACTCAGTAATAGTCTAGCTATAATGCGGCGGTCTGTAAATAATCGAGTCGGGACCAGACAACCCTGTGATTAACATCACGAGCATCGATCTACAAATTGGGATACGATGACATGCATCAACCAGGTCAGCAAACCTGACCACCCGATCCCGTTAGTCGTAAGTTAAACAAACTTACAACGTCTAAACCTAGACTAGAGATGGGTGCTAGAGCGTACATCCTCCCTTTAAGACACAGCGTATTGGCTTCTCACCTCTTTCAAAAGATCCGGGGTAGAATAGGTCTTCAGCAACCCATGCTTGCCGTAAAAGGCGACTACGCTTATCGTAAGAGGCGACTAACGGGATCGATTGGTCAGGCTCGCTGACTTAGTTAATGCATGTCATCGTATTCCAATTGCGTGGATCGATGGTCATGATGTCAATCAATGGATTGTCTGGTCCAGACTGGATTATTTTACAGACCGCCTTCATAGAGCTGTAATATTGCCGTATGTGGCGTTAAGCAACAAGCAAACACCATTTTCAAAAGCCAATATGATCTTATAACTCCATTGGTATTGACTATAAGATATGGCTGCACCGAAAATTTAATACCTCACCCCTCGGGCATGTCCGTATAAGACGAAGCATATTGCAACGCCATCGATTTCAAATTGCAATACGTTCTTACATGTATATTATGGGGTCACACACGTCCGGGCGTGTAATGTGCGTCTAAGTCATCCGTGGTTCAATCGACGCCCAATTAAGACCATACAAGTCGTCTTTTAGCACAGAATATGACCTTATGCTCCCGAGTTACAGAATTTCTATTTTAGCATCTCTAAGAAGCTGCTCCTTAAAACTAAAAATAGAAACGCTAAGTCGTTGTAATAACCCCCCTCATCACCAAATGAAAGATTTTCTAAATTGTGTTTAAACGGCGTTGAAAAGCATTACATTTCCAAAGCCATCCTCTGTTAACATTCGTTCCATTACCAAATGGTTTCAATAATCAGGCATTATTAATAACACTACAGATGTAAAAATGAAATTAATAAAGTTAAATAATGTTATTTTACACCAAAAAATTGAAAAACTCGTTTTAAAGCTAACTCAATTTTGCTTCTTATTTTGTAAACATTTTCACATATTTTAACTTTTGTCTCTTTGTATGAACATGTCCGTGACCTTGTATGTACATGTAGATGCAATTATAACGTGATACTGTAATAAACAACGCATTCATTCCCTCCGTGTCAGGATCCGCTCAACGTGGATTAAAATACCAAATTGACCTCCACTGGATATCAGGGTACTGTCTGCTCGAGATATAAAGGTACTGCTTCATCGGGATATAAAGGTACTGCTTCTTCGGGGATATAAAGTTACTGTCTGCTCGGGATACAAAGGTACTGTCTGCTCGGTCGGTTGGTTTGTTGTTTAACGCCGCAATCAGCAATATTCCAGCTATATGATGGCGGTCTGTAAATAATAGAGTCTGGACCAAACAATCCAGTGATTAATATCATGAGCATCGATCCACGCAATTGGGATAAGATAACATGCATCAACCAAGTCAGCAAGCCTGACCAACCGATCCCGTTAGTCGCCTCTACAAGCATAGTCGCCTTTTACGGCAAGCATGGGTTGCTGAAGACCTATTCTACCCCGGATCTTCACGGGTCTGTCTGCTCGGGATATCAGGGTACTGTCTCCTCGTGATATAAAGGTACTGCCTCCTCGAGATATAAAAGTACTGCTTCTTCGGGATATAAAGGTACAGCCTTCTCGGTATATAAAAGTACTGCTTCTTCGAGATATAAAGGTACTGCCGCCTCGGGATATAAAGGCACTGCTTCTTCGGAATATAAAGACACTGCTTCTTCGGGATATAAAAGGACTACTTCTTCGGGATATAAAGGCACTGTCTCTTCGGGATATCAGGGTATTGCTTCCTCGGAATATTAAAGTACTGCTTCCCCGGGATATAACGTTACTGCTTCATCAGGCTATAGGGTTACTGCCTCCTCGGGATATAAAGGTACTGCCTCCTAGGGATGAAAGGGTACTGCTTTATAGGGATATAAGGGTACTGCTTCCTCGGGATATAAAGGTACAGCCTCCTCGGGATAAAAAGGTACTGTCTGCTTGAGATATAAAGGCACTGCTTCCTCGGGATATACCGTTACTGCCTCCTCGGGATATAAAGGTACTGTCTCCTAGAGATATAAACGTACTGCTTCATAGGGATATAAAGGTACTGTCTGCTTGAGATATAAAGGTACTGTTTCCTCGAGATATAACGTTACTGCCTCCTCGGGATATAACGTTACTGCCTCCTAGAGATATAAAGGTACGGCTTCCTTGGGATATATAGGTACTGTCTGCTCGAGATATAAAGGTACTGTTTCCTCGAGATATAACGTTACTGCCTCCTCGGAATATAAAGGTACTGCTTCCTCTGGGTATAACGTTCCTGCTTCCTCGGGATATAAAGGTACTGACTCCTCGGGATATAGGTATTGTCTGCTCGGGATATAAAGGTACTGTCTCCTCGGGATATAACATTACTGCTTCCTTGGGATATATAGATACTGTCTGCTCGGGATATAAAGGTACTGTCTCCTCGGGATATAACATTACTGCTTCCTCGGGATATATAGATACTGTCTGCTCGAGATATAAAGGTACTGCTTCCTCGGGATATTACGTTACTGCCTCCTCGGGATATAAAGGTACTGCCTCCTTGGGATACAAAGGTACAGCCTCCTTGTACTGCCCTCTCGGGTATATAAAGGTACTGCCTCCTCGGGATATAACATTACTGACTCCTCGGGATATATAGGTACTGTCTGCTCAGGATATAACATTACTAACTCCTCGGGATATGTAGGTACTGTCTGCTCGGGATATATAGGTACTGTCTGCTCGAGATATAAAGGTAAGACTTCCTCGGGATATAATGTTACTGCCTCCTCGGGTTATAAAGGTCCTGCCTCCTATAGGGATATAAAGGTACTGATTCCTCGGAATATAAGGGGCTGCCTCCTCAGGATATAAAGTGGGGGGGGGACGGTGGCCCCGTCGTCCAGGGCGCTGCACTTTGCTGTTAGGTCTCTTAAGGGTGCCCAGATACGCTGTGTTATATTTCTTCGTTTGTCAGCACCGTACCTTTGGGTTTCACCGAAGTGGAAAACGTCTAAGGCCTGTATCCTTTCGGGCTAACACGCCATGATATTATTGAAATCCTGTTGAAAACTCACTCCCCTTTCTCCGCGTATTACTGTCCAGATTTGTTCTAATATGAAACAGCTGAGTGTCACTTGCATGAAATGCACGTGCAGCACACAATCCGCAAGCGTTGTACATTTCAATTAGCAGCATTGGATGTATGTACACCACGTGATAAAAGGGTAATCTCTCATCAGACAAGTCTCCAGATGTGTCTGGGATATTAGAACTCGTTCGTTGTTACCTGTTTCCCACAAAATCGGCAAGCTGATGTCTTATGCAAACAGCTGTGCCATGTTTTCAGCTATCCATCACACACAGGCACTCGTCCCAAGCTGCCCCATGTGTTTGTGAACAAGCCTCGCCTCAGTGGAGGGTAAACAAGACAAATATTCATGTGTTTATTTCACAGTTTATTTCAGTAATACGTCTCTTCTGCATCATATTTCTTAAATAAAATAAATAAAATAAATTGTACAAAATGTCAAAATGTCATTTTGGACCTTACATCATCTATGCCACATTTTTTATAAATGTATATACAATCATATATAACTGTGACTTGGGGACATGGATAAAAATGCAATTCGTAGTTTCTGTTTCAGCATCCAACTGCGATAATGAATGAAAATGGTTGATAACACATCATTTGACTATGATTAGATCTACATATGGCTAAAAATGCATCGTAGACAACTTAATGCTAAGGTCACACGATCCATTTACAATAATCAGATAGCAATTATAACGTCAACAATTTCTTTGAACTTTGGATTATGTTATTTCAAACAATATAAACGGAAGTAATCTTCGTTTGGGTGTGTGATTATGCAAACTTTCAATTAATCAAAATGGCATTATTTGAGTTTTAAGGATTTTTGTATGACTAATTGAGCAGGTAACATGTCAGAAGTTAACGCATACGTGGTACCTCTTAGATTCACTGCTATATGACATCTATGCTGAGACAATCTATGACAGTTGACCACTGGTCAAGTGATGGCTGGACATTTGCCATCTGTTTAATGCTTTTATTGGTCTCTGTTGTCCTATAATGTCCGGTGATGGAAATGGGGGTGAAGCGTGGAATGAAAGGTGGGCGAGTAATTCGGCGGGTGGGGGTGGGGGAGGGGGAGGGAGAGGGGACAGTACAACCTAAATTTAAAAGATAAAGACATATGGCCTCAGATCAGTATGTCAAGGTCAACCATAACAATACCCAATACTTCAAATATAATAATTTTAAATATGCAAATCAATTCATAATTAAACCTGATTTCATAATCAAATATAACATAAGATCTTATCCATCAGATTCAGATTAAGGTCATGAGATCAACATGTTACTAACAAAACAAAATACCAACTCCCTTAGAAGTGTACCGCCGTAATGGTATCCACAAATAATTCACGAGTCACAGACAAAATGTCGGCCTTGGATCCAGTTTGAGGAACCCCATCAGGTTGGACCATCAGTGTCTCCGCCGTGCTTAAGCTAGTGTGTTTGAACAACCATCTCACAGCTGAAAGCTTTTAATATGAAATGTATTGATCTAGCATTGAGGCCTATAGCGCTCTCCAGTTGCAGAGGGCTATTCCTCATTGATGGCCCAACAGGATTTCCGATGGATATAAAGCCGAGCTGAATTAATAAATCCGCGGTCTAATTTACAATTGAAGATAATAGCACAAATTCTATCAATACTGGAGAGTGTGAATTTTCGACTTGAAAACTGCCAGTTGGGACAGACGCTATGATTTGGCAAATTGATATTGGTAACGGGAGTATCACTTGCAGATCTCAAGATTATTTCATGAATCTTTTAGATGGGTGATGTCGGCGCGGCGTATCGATAGCGCGCACTGGAATTGTTAAACATGGGTTATTCTGACGCGTTTCTATTGAGGCAGCAACGAGTCCATCTGTCGCGAAGCCAAACATGGTAACACCTGTCGGCGATATGCATTTACAAGGAGGCCCCGATTTGTGTAGCTCTTGTTGAGGTGGTGCTCTCCAAAGGATAACGGTACCTCCCTCACTCCGCGTCACGTCAACCACAGACTGGCGTCGCTGACGTGTGACGTCACAAACACCAGACCACGTGGTGCGTTGCGCGTAACTCGTTACAGAATGACACTGCAGCTGGTTGTTCCTTATATGGAATATGCAAGCGCGAGGGAACATCTAACGGGAAACTGTAGCAACTAAACATTACGATTCAGATCACGCATCGGGGGACGCGCATTTGAAATGTCGCTTTGTGTGGTGAACAATAAGTTATTTCTGCAGTTTGCCAAGTACCAAATCAACAGCGAAGCCGCATATAAATGCTGCCTCGTTATAACACGATTAATTCAGTTGAAATGTCAAGCTGTTATAAAGGATCTTTAATCTTCACCTTTCTTTCATTTTACATTAAACAATAAACGTGGCAGATAAAAGGAAAAGTTTGTTCTATAAGCAGTGCTCCAGACAGATTTCAGGATAAGAAAACTCATTTTCGAATATAATGAGCGTTGTTTTCAACTTGGTAATAGTTGATGAATCATATAACGACTGTGATAACGACAACGCTTGCCATTTTATATGATATAACATAACAGTAAGCCGCCATTTCGCTTTTAACAAGTAAACATAAACATAATGTACCGAGTAAGTCAAATGAGTGACTTCAATACCGCGTTCCAGTGGGGGCATTAATCTTGAAAAATTCATGTCAGCTTTTTGGACTAGATATCTATGCACTAACAGCGGTACACAGAAATAGATGACAACAAAATCGATTTGTGGCTGGCGTTCGCCTGACTCTTTCAACTAGTTAAACGATAACGAAAGAACTACGTATAATAATAAGTGGTACTGTTGTCATTTGAGCTGAGCAAACTTGAAATAAGTGTCACTCGGATAACAGATAAACAATTATGCCAACAGATTTGTAATCGAATTATGAGTTTAATTTCTGTCTTGATATATGTTTTGATAATTTGATATATTCCCCAAAAGATCCTCTTTCGTCTTAACAACAGCTTACACTAATTTTTAATAAATAAGTTATGAAGTAGAATAAGCATCGTTTTAACAGATATAAAATACTGTGAGCACAAGAATTGTACCTTGCTGTATCTATGAAGCACCTGTCTGGAAGGTTTACTATCCGCGGACGGCTCGTCTATCCAAATCTCCTAACCTGCTTGTGCAAATACGGGACAAGATTCCACAACTAGGAATGTCTTTGGCGCTACGCTGAGACAATCACTGTAACTTTCAGAAATGTTACCCACGTGTGGTCAGCTGGTCCGTCATCACGTGACCGGGGTCCAATTGCATTTCATATACAGTTAGAATTATCAGACTTCCGTGAAAAGGCGTTATGAGACATATTCGATAGATCTTTATAAATTCAACTCTGGAGACATAACAATCCTACACGAATATGGTGTAAAGGATATTTTTAACTTTTGTTCGATATTGAATATATTTGTATACGTATCTACAAGACGCAACCATGACGTCAAAAGGCAGGGAGGGACCATATACTGTATTCGGGGGATAAAGACTTCCTGTGACAGAAACAATTTCATACGTTGCGAGGGGCGGGGGGAGTTATAAATTTGTATGGAATGGCAGACAATGAATTCTTCAAAACGGAACAGGTTCGGGATACATTGTTTCGCAAAACGATTTGGCATGTGACAATGGATTCGAAAGTATATTGATCTGAAATATTTCAACGTACAGTGGAACCTCCTTAATGTGGACACCTCATATTTCGGACGGTTAAGATAGAGTAATGCTTAATCACAACACATGTTTTATGACCGGAGACCAGAATAAATAGCTTCATGTAAACTGGGTCGTCCTCATTAAGGAAGTTCCGCTGTACAGATCAAGTTAAAACGACTCGTATCAAGTAATCACAATGCGGCATTCTTGCTGCAACACATGCCCCTGGGTTGTGGTCGCCTTTGTGGTATCCGGTAATACTTCAAAAGTACAGGTATGTATAGTCCTTGATGAGCCGGACTGGTTCACAAAACAGGTGTCATTATAAACAAATATACAAATCCGATATATTATATACACTATTTATACCATGTTCCACTTGTTGGGCACAACTCGAAGGCCCGGTGCAAAATTTAATCCATGCACCACAATCATTAAAACAAAGCTGAGAATGCTTTCAGTGCGCATGTGTGAGATTGTTGGCATGTGTGGAACAGCAGACGAGAGTTTCGCCTGACGGGCCTGGGAGCAGACGACCATACTCGCGCCATCACGGAATCACATTCGCTCTCACTTGAGGAATTCCTCATCGTCTTGCGAGCCAGCTGCATCCAATACCGATAATTTGTTCACAGTCTCTTAGGCCGTACACACATCGGACTAAGTTTCGCCTAACGCACGTATCAAATTATTAAACACTGTGTCCATATCAGAATAGATTTGTTTCTCCCTTTGTGAATCGGTTGTGAAGTTTTCGAGGGGTGTTTCAGATGATGAGAAGTTCCCAGTCTCTAAACTTTGCACCAAGGCGTCCGTGACCTCATCCCCCATATTGCCGTCTGCCACTTGGATGTGTTCCTCACAGAACGCCGCAGACGACAAGTAACTATTGTTTACAACCTCATAATCGTATCCGTTCTTTCTCTTATAAAACGGGTACCCTTTTGACACAGAAGTCGTCCTCTTTTCCTCTCGAATTTCCGATTGCATTCTTCTCACCGTATTATTTATCAACACAGATCGTCTCAAAAAATGCTCAGGGTCCTCCATTTGACGAAGTTTCTGAATTGAGATTCGCAACACTTTTCTTCTCTCATCCTTCCTTTGTTTAGGGGTATTAAGGAATGGAGATATCCTTTTGGACGGCACAATCTCGCTGATATTCTCACATGAGTCTAAAGGGCATTTCCTTTTCAGTCCTCGACATTCGGAGGAGTCCAAGTCAATAGCCACACTTTCCCCGCCGACTGGTTTGTCTGAAATGTAAAAGATACATCAAAATCTCGAAATGAAATAACTACAAAATGGAACACCTATTACCATTATAACATTATTTGCTAAATCAGCAATAATCACAACTAACCATGACATTATAAGTGTTAGATGAAGTCAAATACTTTTCAAACACTTACTTATCATATCAAAACATCACTGATGAATACCTAATACTAACATGCACCCATATCATTATCATTATCAAGACAGGTCTATAGGAAAAATCGAATTTTTTTATCAGTAACTAATACATTGTAATGTATACATTAGTTATACGCACAGATTATGTATGTCGACTTCATGACGATCTAGTAAAGAATCTTTCCCATCACGACTGATTGTTACGGTATGGCCAAGGGCTGTCGCTCAAAATGAATATTGATTACAGACTCGCTTAATTTGGCGGCCCGTCAGTCTGACTTGAACGGAAACATGCTGACGGATAAAATAAAAATACACTATAACCACGTCAGACGTCACATATTGCTGACTGAATGGTGACGTGACTGAATATGGTCACACGTAAGCCTGAATTCCCAATTGGCCCAATAAACGCTTCCTGATCAACGCGGAAATGACCCTTGCTGCGGTGACGGCTGACTTAGGAAATATCATCACACAATGTCTCAACTCCACTGTGTGAGCAATCAACGCTCAGTAGACTTGTTAGTACTTCCATATAAGTACCGAACTTTAGACGCAAGTGGTACTCAATAGCAATTATGTAATTCCCCTTTCATGTTGATAACGCGGTATCTTGTTCATACGTTTTCCGAGGCGAGTTATCTTTAACCAGTGTGTCGGCACTTGGTGTAGCGAACATGTGTTAAATAACTTCCGCTGTGAGAAATAGTAGGCGACTAACGGGGAATGGGGGTTCCGGGGGACTCCGAGCTTGCAGTCGGTCGTCAAATCAAAATACACGCTTTGAACATTAAAGCCGTGTGAATATATATTTATATCGCCGGTGGTCACGATGTTATCAAATATTGTATAATTCCCGTGGGTTTTCACTACGCGGTGCAGTAGTATGAAACGATGTGACACGTTGTGATTTGAAGCTTGTTTTCTTCATGAAAAAAAAAAAAATAATCCCTTCTCGTTTGTTATTTTTATTTAGGTTTATTTTGGTGATAATGTTAAAATAACCCTAGTGGTAATGCTGATTCTCTAACGATCACGATGTTTATATATATTTTTTAGAGAAATTTAAAAGAAATTTCATTATTTAGTCAAAATCTGTTTTTTATTAAACCTTTATTCAATCTATTTCTAAAAAAACCCATGTATTTATTGACAACCTTTCTAGTCGTACAAAGTTTCTGGGTTTCGATTTTTTTTTTCTTATTCGTCTAATACGGGAAGGTGATTAATTGAATCGTGCTAAAGCCACACACATAATGTACAGGAATGTGTAAACAAGCCAAGAATACAACCACCATTGTGGTCTATTTTTATCCATCTACAATTTCCACTGAACAACCTATTCTGCTACTACTAAACCTGGCTAAATGCCGGACTCTTTCACAATATCATTCCCCAGTTAACGTGACTGAATTAATTCCACTCGTAACTTCCACCAAATAACCCGACCGGGGCAATTCCGCCATCCATCCGTCTTCTCATTCTATTTGACCAGCAACATGCCCAGACCTATTAAACCGCGTCTGCTACACTACAGCTTGACCGGTCAAAATCCGCCATCTATCAGCTCGCCTTCCAAGACCAAGGTTTACTGCCCGATCTAAACAAGGCAGACGACAAAGATGAAGATTTGTCCCTGATTACTGTCGATGACTCTTGCTTCTCCCCATTAGGACCATCAATAATTACTAAATCAGCAATCCCCTTGCCGGGCGAAAGGAATGATGTCAACACTGAGGGTCATTCAATTGCTCAGTTGGACGAAACTTTCCCCTGCCAATTATACAAGAGAGGTCTTTCCTACACGCTCCCATAGAGCGAGCACGGGAGTCCCGACGGTTGTTATTTCGTTACCTGTTTTCGTCAGTCAGCGTGCCCCAGTCCGACAGTGTAATTACGTAACATTTATATTAGGTCTCTTGCTATTAAACAGTAAACGGGGTAATGAACTTGCTGATGTCAGATCTATATTGTGGTGCAAATCGGATAATGATAAGCTGTTACTGTGGTCATTAGACGTGTATTGATTGACTGGCCACCTTACACGCATGTTGGTGGAAGTGGTATTTGAACAAGTAGCGATAAGAACACGTGTGGCTAAGCGTAAGGGGATGCTTCACTATTTGAAACATACGGATGTAAATAAACATGACCTACATTTTAACTTACAAGCTCGTGGATAGCGGGCTGACATTCACTTACGCTACAATCAAGACCAGCAGGGCTAGACTGGATGGCCTTCAGAGCTGAAATCTTCCCCCCCCCCCCCCCCCCCCCCCCTCCCCCATCTCTCTCTCTCTCTCCTATTGATATAATATAACACCCAATGAAACAAATCAGTGGTTAACATCATACGACTTATTTTAAGTGAGAGACACCTACGCTATCTAAATCAAACAATCAACATATTTGTTGAAAACGTCGTCCTTGTCTCACTCAACACTTTAACTACATATATAAACCAAAACACGTTTAACGAATAAAACGTTTACAACACGTATAACCGTTTGTTTAAACTCAATCTGAAAACCAACGGCGTTATTCGCCCTCCCTGCCACACCCCTATATCAATTTGTATTATTGAATAAGCCTGTCCTGTGTGGTGTCGTCCACAGGCAGGTGCCCGAACATCGATCTCGTCGCCGTGTTTACCGCGGCTTGAGGAAGGGTGGGACAACGCCGACGGTGACCGACATGCAGAGGTTGTTGTCGCCGAGCCAGTGTTTAAGTCGCCGGATAGGCACAAGGTCACATATAGTTTATTCTCGACTCCATGCAGGGAACTTTGTTTGAAGTCTCCGAGAAGCACAGCCTACTACAAAGAAACCTCTAGCCCTCGTCTTTACAAAACACATTTAGCATACCGCTTGGTTTAGATGACTATCATACAGAGCTTGAAACTACAAGATGTTGAATATTCGTATTTGTCACGAATGTATCGAGTTCTGCCACTCTTTAACGCGTTAACACTGGACCCATGTTTGATAGATTACTTGAACATCTTAAATAATTATATGAACTCCTAATGTCACTTCATATATCTATTAAGTCAAAAGACATACTTGTATTTTATGTAACCGGCCAATAACAATAACATCTAAAAAATAGTTTTCATGATTTTTCTTTCTGATGATGGGACGAAACATGTTGAGATTCGCGAGTAATTCGGTCGAGTTCTGGAGAAACAGGAGTTTTTATGAGTTGCCCAATTATGCAGTAATACCTTTTGAGCTAAATTATATTGTTGAAAGGTTACAATAGCTAGTACGACGTTCCAGGATGTCACAAACAGTACCCATTGTCGTAATTCACGGATGGTTTCACCCCGTCATTCAAATAAACAGGGTTGTAAAAAGGAACTTGTTTTGTGAAATATACATGCATCGACACGATGCAAATAGTTGTATCTTCATCACCATTTCACAGATTGCGAATTTCACGATCATATTCATACTAACCCACTCGGAAATGATCGGGTGTTGCACCATCACAATGTGCTCTTACTGATACGAGCTCATCTAGATCAAATAACGCCTCTGCGAGTCTTTACCAACACACAAGGCGATTATAAATAAACAGTTAAGATATTTAAGTTTTCCATGCATGCATTCATCGTCGGCCCTGGGGCTCCAAGTCTGCTTATACAGCCCATGAGCTTTGATTACGGCCGAATAGCTCTCGTAACATTACACTGTGCCAGAGGAGAGACGCAATAAATCACTTTCTAGGATTTGCAGTCAGGACTTGTGGCACGGGTGCTCGATCTGGGCTGCCATGATGAGCCACTAAACCCTCACCGTGGATATCTATCATCAAATATGGATGTCTGATATCTTTGGCCCTACCTTTGATGTTATTTTGTATATGTTCAATTAGTGATCAAATAGCTGGGTGGTAAGAATGACATTAATGGGAGGTTTGCCATTGCGATCCGGGCCTGTGCAATAACAGCTATCACAGCCACAGGATTGCCACAGTTGTGGACATGTAAACTCAATAGTCAATAAGACCAGAATATTCAAATTTTGAGCTTTTTAAACGGATAGAATTTCAAATAATTCTCCGAACGTCTAGACATGTCAATTTCAGATGTATCACGTTACGATCAATGGGTAAATAATGGTTTTACAAGGCTGTGATGCAGAAACCATCAGTTTCTCGAAGCCGCATAATAGTTAAAACACGAGTGGTTTCTCGCAATGTATATCACGTGTCAGTTCGTGAAGACACCTGTCAATCAAATAGTTGAAATACGTACCAGTCCAAAACCAACATAAACTATTCACAATATTTTTCTCTCGTAAAGTGGACGCCCCAAAATCAGCAATTAAGTCAATTTCAACAATGCCCATTACAATAATTAATTGATTAAAGCAAAAGTCAGAAAAATAATAAGGCTCCAATTGAACGATATTTAATTACAGTTTATTAGTAAAATCGTTACGAGATTAGTATGGTCAATGAATGGCATTTTTCGGTAATAGTCCAAATCAGAGAGCGACCGATGTAGTTCACAATTAATATCGCTGCTCATCTATTTCGGTGAGCAATTGTTTAGATTTAGCAGTTTCCTGCATCGCTTCACGTCACAAGGCGTCTTTATATCATAACTCGCGTCACAGCGAGTGCTTGCACTCAGTCCTATCTGTCTATTGCAGCCTGGCGTGCAAGTCATCCGTGAAATACACGGGTGAAATTGACAAAAGCCTTCGGCAATTAACAAAGCACCAGGGAACAGGCGAGCGTTTGTGATCTGCCCAGTTGAAATTAAGCCCTCACCTCTCAAGCAGACAATGGCGCTAGCCTATATGGCTAGAACGTCGAACAGAGCAGTGTATTGCCCCCAAAACACAATTGTAAATACCTCTAACGCACAATACACTTCCTAAGTCGGGTTGTATGTACAACTGGAAATTGACACGGGAATAACGCTAGACTGACTCGCTCAGATCGATATCGATTAGGTTCATATCAGGATTTGAGATTGAACGATCCTTAAGAAACAGGGAGTCTATCGAAGATGGAATGAGGCTCGTTAATGCGGTAGTCAAAACATGCATGTATGTCCTTATAAACACGCAGCGAACAAGAGCCCCCCCCCCCCCCCTCCTCTCACAGATGGCATGTATCAACGCTGAAAGCTTAGCAGACACTTGTCTACAGTTGAGACCAGTCAACAGTCTGCGTTTGTCCACGGCGAGCCGCTCGAGCGATTAATACCAAAACATGTTCTTATCACACGGGCAAAATATACAGACGAAGCCCAGGAACTAGTGTTTTATGTAATGACACAACCACGAGTATTGATTAGAAAGTACAGTCTCATTCACATAAAAATTTACTTTGCAATTAAAGCAGAGCTTTCAAATATAAACCGGATTCAAATGTCGCATGCATTTAAGCTTCAATGAGATCAATGTTTGCTGCGCAGGAGAATCACTTAATGCACTTTCAGAGAGTAGTGTGAGGGTTTTTATTACACTCGTGTTTGAAATGGAACTTGGCGAAATAAAAACAACAACAGAAGATGGCTATTAATTGGATGTTGAACAAAGACGGTTGATTGTAAAGCGAGCCTATATGCCTGTGACGCGACGCAAACATTACAACGGTGGATAGGTCAGAGATACACTGCGGTAAAACACGTAGACTACACGTGGTACACGGACATGCTTCGCTCTGGAGAGAGTTATCTCTTATTTCTTGAGATCATCTTTGACATGCGCGTTTACTGGCATGAAAAGGAAAATAGCGTAAACGCCACATTGATTTACATTTGGATGGTTAATAATACAGCGTATGCAATTATATTTGAAGAAGTCATTCGTTGTGTGCATTACAGCGAAATTTTGCTACGAGACGAATAAGTACTTTAATGGTTCATTTTGACGAACCTGATTTACCAAGTATGCATTATTAAGCCAATAGATAAACAATATTTAACGTTCAACTTTAATATTACACGAACATATCACGTTACAAATATTTTTTTATTTAAGTCCAGATATTATTTTTTGCTTTATCTAACATTTAGCTTTAGATCACTTAATTAACTATTACGTATGAGATTACTTACCTGATATACTTGACACATTTTTTACGTCTTCGGGTTGGGTCGTTGTGTCCTCCACGGGCGTGGGGACCGGGGTTTCGGCCCGAGGGGGTGAGGTTACAAAGTTAAAGGTAAGATCCGGTGAATTGAGGACTTCGTCAGCCCCACATAGTCTGTGGTGGGGGGTGCACAGGGGGTTCATCGATAATACCACAGTCATGTCTGAAGTAGCTTTCTGTCGGGGTGGCTGGTACACGCCCGACCCCCCTACCTCATTAATCAGTGGGGGAACACAATAACAGGTAGCTGTCCCACGTACAAGACCGGTAGATCTGAAGTAGAAGACAGTATGTGAAATATAGACACTTGGTCCAAAATGTTAATCAATTTAGTTATCTAAGTCTGAGGCATTGCAGTACGCTTCCTATCCCCCGACTCGCTAATAAGCGATCAAGACACATGGTTAGTTTGAGGAAACTGAAACGTAAGCTGATAGAGCGACAGGCAACAAACTCAAGAGCCCCAGCGCTCACAGTAGGCCCCGAGAGTCACATACATCGCTGACAGTGACCCCAGTAACAAGTGTCTCCAAACAATGAACCCGACCAACAGATAAAACTCTTTTTGTAAACACGACAGATTGTTAATCTATCGTGAAGAAAACACAAAATCAAAACAATTACCTTTGATGAAGTTGAAATTACTTCCAATGAATACTGTATGCGTACACAGGAATATATGTTATCCGACAAAGACGTTGTGATCCTAACAAAGTGTTGGTTTGTACGATTGTGAACTTCACTTGGAACAGCTGTCTCCACCGTCAGAAGGCACGCGTATATTTGCTTAACAATACCAATACTGGCTGTTCCAGCTAGCGCCCGGCCGCCCTCCTGGACAATTCACTGTCCGATGATTAAGAAGCGCATTGTAAGAGCAAATTGAGACCGCTGCAGTAGATCCACTGAGTCTAGCTAAGGAAACACACAGATCTCGATTCACTGTCACATACAACCAGTCGATAATACATCCACACTGGTATGAGCAACCACTGGCTTCTTTGTTGCGGGACTGTTTGCGTTAGTGCAACCGTAGCAGACGATCTCTTTCCCTACACTGGCGAGGCGGTCGCGCAAGGGGAGTGAGTGGCGATATGTCACTCGCTGCGATTGGCCGATTCGCCCGATTAATTGCTGTCAATGAAAGAGCGCGTGCCACTACCCCTACCCCCCTGTATAACGCTAATATCTCGAGGATCCCGCTTACCCCTTGGGTCAAAGGTGAAATGTGAGCTTTCATGGGTATCGTCACATTTTCCGACATTCCGCTCGTCTGGTAAAAATAGCTCATATTGAAGTGAACGGGACATATGTAATTACAGCCTCATGTTGCTGTGATTGTGTGTCTTATGTTGCCCCATATATAACAACACTGGGCGAAACGAGGAGAGACACTGGACAATTAACCACTAGCTTCTAGCATCACTCGACATGGTTCGGGACTTTGACAGTTAGCCCTAGAGCGTGTACCCCGACAAGAAGACAAAAAGAGGGGTGGGGTGGCGGGGAGGGGAGTGGACGGCGACAGAATTGCGGATGGTCTGAGTGGATGGGGATAGCTGGAGGGCAGTGCGGCTGGGGAAAGGGGGGGGGGGGGGGGGGGGTGAAGGAGGGGTAGATTTGGAAGGGCTGGTTGGGGGATGCGGAGAGAGTTGAGATAAGGGGGGATGGAGATACCACTGTTTGAAGGGGCGATGGTGTGGCGGAAAATGAGGATACGGTGGTAGGGGCGTGGTGGGAGGAGTATGCAGTTGGCTTTAGAGAGGGAGGGTGAAACGGCAGGGGTGGTAAATTAGGGGCCCTATTTAGGATGAAAAAAATAGGGCCCGGGTATACGTTTTGGGGTAGAGGGTTAATACAATGTTTGTTGTTGGTTTTTTTTTGTTTTGTTTTTTTTTTGGGGGGGGGGGGGGGGAGAGTTCAGGAGGGGGGTGTCAGACACTATTATGGTTGTTTAAAGAGGTTGGTCTGGTTTAATGATAGCCTGCAGATAGGGTTAGGATCATTCAAGTACAGCTCCAGACTAGGTACTATTGCAGCGAGAGGGGTGCAATGATTGTCAGGAAGCAAGTCTTCACACGAATGAAGAGGAAAATACATGAAATAGAAATACAAAATGGGTACCACGTAGGAGCAACGTCAGTCATTTAACATAAATACGCGGAAATGCCAGAACAATGAATCCGGCCAGAAAATGTGATTTTACGTCTCTTTTTATTAATATTGCAGTCGTATATAGAACCCAGCTGGGTGCCCTACTCTCCGGCGTGACCCTCTGACCGTGCACGTGGGAATGGGGAAGGGGGGGGGGGGGGGGATAATTAACTGTCGCCGTATGTACAGGACGGAGCGGCTGGCCAGGGGGAGGCAGGATGAACACTAGAAGGGCGTGGTGATTTTGTTTTTTGGCTGCGGATGTAATTAGAACAAAATTGAGATGGATGGTATGCGAGTGTTTAAGAAAAGGTCAAATTGAATAAATTATTTATTAAAGACGACGATCAGGGTTACCGAGGAGGCGTTCTACCAGAAAATCTAATATAACCCCCGGCCAATTGGTATCGGGTATACCAGCACCACGCTCAATCCTCCGCCCCCATCCCAACCCCCGCGATCTGTTATCCATATCTCAAAGTCACTCACTTACACCCCATTACTTCTAGCATACATACACTTAATAAATCCCGCCGTGTACCGATCTTTGTTAACAAACACGTTGCTTGTGTTTTTAGCAATGGAACGCAGCGGCGTATATTATTCTCATCGATTGAACAGCGTAGGGGCATATAGCCACATCTCCCTATTGACAGCTGTACATGGCTCAGATCGACGATTTCTATTCTGAATACGAGCCGACCTGTTCCTGAATCATCGAACTTAGCATCTACTTAACAAAAGGCAAGACGACGTAAGATAATCTCTTTCCAGATCTCGCTGTGACGCTGGCGAGTATGTCTGTGCCACATGGAGTCTCCTTGCAATGCTATCAAAGCTAGAACTGTGTTCCCAAGATTCCCACACCACATACGAAATTCATTTGGGCCCGAGGTGGAGCCTACCCCCTACTGGGAGTTGTATTTATGTTGGCCTGTGTCTGTGGAGGTGATTAGTCGTCCCCCATACCCCACCCCCAGTCCTGGAGATACCGTTAGACGGGTAATCAGTACGTCGGTGTCATGAGTGTCAATTATGTTTAGGACCACCACGGCGCCAACTACAACAACAACAGCACCTACTACTACTGCAACTACTACTACTAGTACTACTGAAACTACTATTACAACTACTACAACAACAACAACAACAACTACTACTACTACTACTGCAACTACTACAACGACTATTACTATTGCAACTACTACTACTACTACTACTATTGCAACCACTGCTGCTACCACTTACTACTACTACTACTGCAACTACTACTACTACTGCAACTACTACTACTACTATTACTACTGCAACTACTACTACTACTACTACTACTATTGCAACCACTGCTGCTACCACTTACTACTACTACTACTACTACTACTACTACAACTACGACTACGACTACGACTACGACTACTACTACCACTACTAGAGCAACTACTAAAATTTACTACATCTACTACTACCACCACTCCTACTATAACAACCACTACCGCTGCCACAACCACTACAACTACCACTACAACAACTACCACTACTGCATGTACGAATCTACTTAGCTGTGAGGGCGGTCGGGTAACCTAGTGGTTAAAGCGTTCGCTCGTCACGCCGAAGACCCGGGTTCGATTCCGACATGGGTACAATGTGTGAAGCCCATTTCTGGTGTCCCCCGCCGTGATATTGCTGGAATATTGCTAAAAGCGGCGTAAAACCCTACTCACTCACTTAGCTGTGAGGATCCGGGTTAGAACTGGTCTTAAACAACCCATGCTTGTCGTAAAGCCGACTAACGGGATCGGGTGGTCAGGCTCGCTGACTTGGTTGATGCGTGTCATCGTATCCCAACTGCGTAGATTGATGGTCATGATATCAAATCACTGGATTGTCTGGCCCAGACTCGATTATCTACAGATTATCAACAAACAAACAAACAAACAAACTACTGTTAGATGGTCTTGTTTGACAACGGTGTAAGGATCTATACCGAAACAACGCCTTTACAGTAAATAAAAAAGTTGTTATCCATAAATTGTGTCCACTTTGTCATCCGTCAACTTCTAAGTAACGCCAATAAAACAATTTACTGTTGCATATGGTACTACGGTTAACTTACACCGATGCGCTATTATCACCTGTAAATGATATACATAGCCAACAGTAGTCTGATCTGGAGGCCGTACGTTGATTACAGGTGCGCTCGAGATCAGGTGCAAAAGTTACCTGCCTGGCTGTTGCGTCGTCTCTTGAAACACACACGCGCACTAAAAGCGTGACGGCATACGCAGGTTTATAACCACAACGAGAGTACTCACCAAATCACTCGAGTAAAGTTTATTCTCATAAATAAACATGTGACAGAGTGAAGATATACATTCATCACATTGTCTTTTTTCACTGGCAAAACTGAACCGCCGTGTTTTATTTTAGAAGAAGAGCACGATCCCTAAGCTCACACACAACGCGGGATATATCTATGTTTACTTATGTCGGAGTTGCTGACGCACTGGACAAACAACACGTGCACTTGTCTTGTAACAACCGTATCTGACAGACTGCACAACAAACCAAGGGCTTTGTTGTGGGTTACAAATATGACAAGAGCAACGCCGTGCATTCGGTGACTTGAAAACAGTAACTTCAGCTTGTGGATTGAGGCGCAATATAATTGACGCTTTGGAGGATTGACATGTTGGTTTTAGCTATCCAACAACAAGCACTCACACCTATGATAACAATTATGTTATCTACAGTTCACATCAACCGCTTTCATTACCATTGTTATTAGCACAAGCGGAACAGCCACTGCCACTTTAGTAGCGATTTGTGCTACTTCAACGGATGTTGTAACATATGCTTCCACCCCTACAACTACACTACGACTGCTACTACTTCGACTACTACTACTGATGCTGTTGCTGCTACTGCTGCTGCTGCTGCTGCTATTACTAGACCCGCGAAGATCCGGGTTAGAATAGGTCTTCAGCAACCCATGCTTGCCGCAAGAGGCGACTAACGGGATCTGGTGGTCAGGCTCGCTGACTTGGTTGATGCATGTCATCGTAACCCAAGATCGATGCTCATGATATCGAACACTGGATTGTCTGGTCCAGACTCTATTATATACAGACCGCCGTCACACAGCTGGAATATTCTGAGTGGGGCGTTGAACAACAAACAAACAAAAATACTACTACTTCTACTGCGACTACCACAACTTCTCCTACTGTTGCTACTACTGCTACTGCGACTACAACTATTGCTGCTGTTGCTACTACTACTACTACTACTACTACTACTACTACTACTACTGACTACTACTACTACTACTACTGACTATTACTACTACTACTACTACTACTACTGACTATTACTACTACTACTACTACTGACTACTACTACTACTACTACTACTGACTACTGACTACTGACTACTACTACTACTACTACTACTACTACTACTACTACTACTACTACTACTGTGTTCGCCCCGATGTATCTTGGTTTGTGAACACCATACCCATGCTCGTACGTTCTACCAATGGTAATCTTTTGAGACCTGCGTCACTTCAGGTTTTCCTCCAACATTAAGAAGGCTCAGGATAACAAAACGGTGTTTTTCTCTCACACTTGAAACCGTGCAGTTAATTATGTACTTGTTGATATATGTAGGGTACTTTGAACTTTCCTTTGATCCCAGTTTACCTCTCCCAGTGCTACTCAGACTCACTCACTCACCCACTTACTCACCCGCCCACTCACTCACTCACTCACTCACTCACCCACCCGCCCACTCACTCACTCACTCACTCACCCACCAACCCATTCACTCACTCACTAATACGACTATCATAAATCATAAGCTGTTTTCACAGTTGCATTTCAAAATAAACATGGATTTAGGATTTACATACAAGATTTACTTCCTCAGGGAAAATTCCTAACACGCAACACTTGAACGCACAACAACAGTCCGGCGAAACGTCCTCATAGAGATAAAGTCTTTTTTCACTGA